TTTAAGGAAAATTTAGATTTTTCTCCTAAACTTAACAGTTTTCTCATTGATAAAATAACTATTTTCACCCCTATCTGAAAACGAATAAGTTTTACATGTAGCCAAATATTAAGCTAACTTTTTCACTCTATAAATTGTGAAATAAATTATACGATAAGGTATGTGACAGACATGCAGAAAACAGTGATAAAGTGCAAAACAATTATGCGATAAACTGTGCGAATTAGACGAAGATAGTTGATAAAGTACGAAATAGTTCAGCTATCAACTATGCGACAAACAAACAAACATTGCGAGATAGTTTTTGTGATCAACTATGCGAGAAATAGGCCAACTTGATAAAGTGCAAAACAATTATGCGATAAACTATGCGACACACTAAAGATGTTGACAAAGTGCGAAACAATTATGCGATCAAGCATGCCACAGACAGACAAACATAATTGATAATGTGTGAAACAATTATGTGATAAACTACACGATATACAAGCACATATAATTGATAGAGTGCAAAATAGTTATGTGATAAACTATGCGACACATAATGGGACATAATTAATAAAGTGCGAAACAATTATGTGCTAAATTATGCGACAAATAGACGAAGGTAATTGATGCGAAAAAATATGTGAATAATTGATAAAGTGCGAAACAATTATACGATAAACTATGCGACGAACAAGAAAATATAATTTATAAAGTGCGAATCAATTATGCGTTAAAATGTGGAAAGACATGCGAAGTTAATTGATGCTAAAAGTTATGCGACAGACAAGTGAATATAATTGATAAAGTGCAAAGTGTTTATGGAAAAAGATATGCGACAGATAGATGAAGATAATCATAACGTGAGAAATAGTTACAATAAACTATGTGACGATCAGGCTAAGATAATTTATGCAAAAAGCTGTGCAACAAACATGTGAAGTAATTGATAAAGTACGAAATAGTTACGCGACTGACAAGCGATGATAATTGATAAATTAGATAATACTGTGCGATAACGTATGCTACAGATAGACAGAGATAATTGATAAAGTGCGAAACTATTATGCAATATGAAACTATTATGAAACGTGACAGAAAAGGTGGAAATAATTTAAAGAGTGCGATGATATGATATGCGACACACAAGTGAAGTTCATTGAGTAAAGTAAGAAACATATTATGCGATTGATATGCCATATTATCATAAACCAATTATGTAATGACAGTTCGTCCAGTGTCGAGCCGAACTATCAGAATATCGACATTAGTAAGACATAACTACCTAAAATCGGCTGGTAATAATTATAACAACTCGAGGACATCGAGTTGTACCAATGAGAATGATTCATTGAGAAGGGTCTAATCTCAGAACCTGACACTAGTAGACAGCTCGAGAAGCATTAAGAGTAGATTGAGGTCAAGCAGAGAAAGGACGAGTCCCCTCACCATTAGGAGCATCTCGAGGTTGGCTTCACCCCCTCTCTTATCTCGAGGTCGACCTCTGCTATTATTACACCAACAGGTAGTCGACATCCACATCCCGAGGACGACCTCACTATCCATACAACTCGAGGTCGATTTATCGCACTAAGGATCTAAGAACAACTTGGAGACAAGTGACAAAGACCTAAAATGGTGATTCTATCTTTACTAATCCCAAGTCGACCTCATGTTGCTCGAGGTCGACTTCCTCCACCTCGCAGTTCGAGGTATGTGATAATTAAGGTTACTTCAGTACTCAATGGGCTTAATGGATTAGGATGAATCTTTAAGGGATAAGATGAAATCTTAAGCTGACTCAGATATGACTAAGAAGTGATTAGGATATGGATAAACCGTGCAGTTGGGCATATTGACTGGGAGGAGTGGGAGGGGAATTTTGGGCAGATATTTTCCTTTATAAAAGGGGATGAGGTATGACGAGCCCCAAACTGTTATGTTCCCTACACATTTTTATATTCTACTGCTGCTCTGCCTATAGAGCATCCCTCTCCCGTTTTAATATTGACTTAAGCATCGAAGGCTCTATGCTGAAAACCCCTCCAGCGTTGAGTTCTTGCAGGTGTTCGTGACGATCTAGAGGCGGTTAGGACAAATCAGAGCTCGTCTCAACCGGTTCACCCGAGATATAGGAGGATGCCCATCAACAATAAATCATGCACCAAAAAGATGAAGTTAATTGAGCAAGTGTAAATTACTTATGCAATAAAGTATGCGACAGATATGCGAAGATCATTGAGCATGAAACAAATTATACGATAAAATATGCAACAAACAGATGAAGTTAATTGAGAAAGTGCAAATTACTTGTGCGATAAAATATGTGACAGCCATGCAAAGTTTATTGAGAAAGTACGAAACAAATTATGCGATAAAACATGCAACAGACAGACAAAGTTAATTGTGCAAGTGTAAAATTCTTATGTGATAAGCAAAGATAATCGAACAAGTGGGATCTCATTATGCGATAAATTACGAGATAGATATGCGGAGATTCAAGCTAGTGCGACATCAATATTTAACAAATTACGCGGCAGACAAATGATGATAATTGATACAGTGCGAAATATTTAGGCGACAACTATGCGAAAGAGAGGGGAAGAAAATTGAAAAATTGCGAAATATTTATGAGATCAACTACGCGAAAAACATGTCAAGATAATAGATAAAGTACAAAATAAATTATGTGATAAACAACGCGACAACCAAACAAAGATAATTCAGCAAGTGCGATCTACTAATACTACGCAGGCTCATCAAACAGCGCTTTTTAGCAGTTATACAATAAAATATGCGACAGATAGGCGAAGATAATTGAGGAAGTGCGTGAAGACGCAGCAATTGTGTGAACATTTCAATCAATCGTGGGTCTGTCGCATTTATTCGCAGATCAGCTTCTTGCATTTGGTTTTCCATTTTTTCAGTTTCTTCTCAATTATCAACTTTTCGTGTAAGCCCTAGAAAGATCGTCCTCTTGGGAACTCTGTACCAGAAACATGTGAAGGAGGTTTTCAACATATTGAATTCCCAAAGTTTCTAAGAATGAAATTCCCCAAAGCAATGAGGCGGAGAATGAGAGATAGAAGAATAGCAAGCTACCTCGACTACTAATAGAGGAGGAATAATTACGTATATAAGTAAACGAGGTTGAGTGAGGATGTGGGCTGGGCCGAGATCAACAATCAGAGGAACATGATGAAAAATGATAGGGACAACAACTTGTATGAACTGATCGATCATACGCTGATCAAAGACGATTTATATATGTTTTATTTCTTATTTTAGTTACATACATTGGGACACTCTTCTGACCTCTTTTATTTGGAGACCTCTTGTCACTTGAAAGGGGTTTCCTTCTACTCGTTTGGCATTGGTCTTATTGTTCTGTAAGAAGTCTGCGTCGACTTCCTCCATGTTAACATAATTGTTGCATCTTCCCAGGAGTATGTCTGATGTGGCCGTTAGTAGTGGCTCGTGAGGAACTGGTTGTGATCCAATCATCATTGTCAATATGAAGGGGACCGGCTAAGCACTATGGTAGTCGGACAGTTGGGAGTGCTCGGCGTCGCACGGTGTTCGGCGCCCCTCAAGTGCTCGGCATTGGAGGTGGTCGGGATGAAGTGTCTGGCGCGGCATCGTCTGGTATGATGAGTGCCTGGCGTATGGCAAATGCTCGGCGTAGGCGAGTGCCCGACGTGGGCGAGTGCTCGACGCGAGGCCTTCAGCGGGTGCTCGGCCTTGGGAGGTTCCCGGCGGCCCTCGTGTGTTCGGCGGTCCTCGTGCGCATCGAGGAGGTTAGAACCTCAAAGTGACTTTGTGATCAAGTTACAAAAGAGTCTGTAGCAACAAGGACTCTCGGGATTCCGAAGACCTTTAACCTATTAAGAGTTTGATATGAAGAAGACTTCTTATCCTACTGGGACTCTCCACATCTCTCCTATAAAAGGGAGCAGGTTCATTTATTTTACACAACACACATTCACGAACTATCTCGTTACTCTGCCGTTTTCTCTCTAGACCATCACTGACTTGAGCGTCGGAGTGTTCGCGCCGGGACCACCCCCGACGTGCTTTGCAGGTACCGACGATCAGGGAGACACAACCTGGTTCGAGAGGAGCGGTCCAACGGTTCGAGTATTTGTGGTATAACAAATCCAACGGTTCGAGTATTTGTGGTATAACAAATTGGCGCCGTCTGTGGGGACGAATCAGCCTTCTACCGAAGTACTAAAGGTTGTTCTTTCTCACCAACGAAGAAGAACAGAGCGATAGGAGTCATGGCGAGAGACAACTCGAAGAAGGACTTGGCGAAGGAGTTGGACGCGGTGGGCTCGGAAGGCGT